ATATGTAAGTAGTTAAACGACGAGGATGTCTGACATCGACGTCTGTAAGGTTCGTGTTTATGCAGGTGCGTAACAATTCCAAAATTTGTTGCGTTCACACAAACACATTCTCAATCTGACTATCTTTGGCTTTCACCGCGCACACATTCGCAACCCAATGGACGTGCCGAAACCGGAATACTGGCACAACATAAAACAAACACACCCGGACAACCCAGCTGACTAACATTTCAAACCAAATTGTCCTATTCTTTTCCGCAGTCTTGTCGACTACTAGATATCATCGCTATCGATTACTGTGCATGCTTAAAAAATGGTCCCCAGTTATAAAACGGAAAACACAAGCTTGTTGAAGACAAGCGAAACAGGAAGCAGCAATGCTCCTTATATTTGAAGATACGTCATTCATCCGGGAATTCCAACAATTCCTACCCATTAATACATGGAGAAAAAGAATACAACAGGTAAAGGACAGACGAACTGTAGGTAGTTAAATGAAACGAATTATATATACGAAGTAAGTACACACCGATCTTTTGGCCGACAAGAGTAGTCAGTGGGTCCCTCTGCAAGGCGCCCAACAAGGCCCCCGCATTCTCCCTGATCGTCTCGCCGATTCCTGCCACTTCGGCAATTGTTCGCTGGCTGTCCCTTCTCGGACAGCCGAACTGGCCGAATTGCAACTATGTCCAATGATGAGCAGCTTGGTCCACTAGACTCACAAAGAAGTACCCTATTCACCTAATAATACTTTGTTTGCCTGAAAATTCTGTCAGAGTTACAAGACCTACACTGGCGTCTTGTTCTGTTTTGCGTTCACCCACACACAAGCCGCTTACGCTAACCGAGTTCTTATTGGTGAACCGCTATTATCCAACATTTAACCACAAGTCGGATCTGAGTACGCCAAACTACTGCCGTACTCTCATACAGTTTAGCCCACTGCTAAGCACACGAATGCCACACACACCGACACGCTACTGAATTTCGAAAGCAGACAATTTGGTAACAAAGACGGCTCCTGTCTTACTATACAAACAGAACGATCAACATTTATCAGCAGCGAGTGCGTAAATATCGTCGTTTTGAAAGCTAGTCTCAGCAGCGCGTTTTTCGTATTTCCCACGCGCAACCTATAAGCAGACTGGCTAGACAAGCGACCAGGTAGAGCTAACAGAACATTGTTGCAATCGTTCAGCAACGAACAAGATAGTAAGATTTCCCTCCTGACTGCTAGCTCGCTGTAACAGCGCAAACAACAGGTGGTACATTTCAGCCTGAAAAAGAGTTGCAATCTACCGCTTATTCAATAAAAAGAGTGCCGCCAACATTTGAATTTGTTGCTGCGCGCGAAACCACCGTTACGTAGCTAATATCACTCTTGAGAGTATCGAAACAAAAACTGACGTTGGCCATCTGTAAGTAGCCAAACGGTTATTCGATTAAAAAACGCAATTTTTGTTTTGAGTATTTGTTAGTATCGGTGTTTGACGGCGGGAGATACCGCGAGTTTAGTGGGTCGTCTCTCTGGCAATTGAGAATCGTGGTGAATAAAGTATCTAGTTTTAAGGCCAGTTGGGTTACAAGATAGGCTCCGTGCTACCATCCACTGCCTATCACCCACTGGTATCTGTATGTGCGTATGAAAAATTATCGTCGTAGAGATATGGAGAAGATGCAAGGAGCTTACAAAGTCGAACAAGTTTTGAATAAACGCATATCCCTAGCGTACTCTGATGGAACTAGGTCAGATATGGTGGAGGGCGAGCCCATAGCTTGGACTAAGCGACGACAGTTGTATGGGTGAGTTTCGCTGAAGGTACGTTAGAGAACTCATTGCATGGCATCTTGTTTTTGTTCGTTCAAGAAATTTAGTATCCAGTGGCTTAATTCAAGCCGAAATCTATAGCAATCTAATTTTGAGGTTCACCTTCTTTCAGAAGTTCATTTTTATCATTGGGTGAACTAACATTGATGGTCCGAAATGTCCTTCGTGGATCTGGAGAAGTATCATTTGAGGAGCTCATATTAATATTTCATGGGGCATTAGAGTGTGATCTCCGGAAAGCATTGAATTCGTTGATTACGTCGAATCATGCGCGTGCATTGGGCAAACACCAATATGAGGTAAAGACTTCCGATTACAAATGTCTTTTGATTTAGCTGGGTTATGATTTCTGTGAAACCTACATATTTGCGTGCAAACATGTATCTGCCTTAATAGCTTTCTCTTCCTAACCCCTTATTAGTTCGGCTGAAATACATTATATTTTTGTAGATCATTTTGCTTACACGTCGGCCTGCACACGATACTCTATCAGCACTATGAATGCATGGTTACATGCTAATAATTATCATCCACCTGCGCATGATTTCCAGTTCGTTAAAAATAAGCCCACATTGAATGACGCTAATGAAATCAGAGAGGAAGTCGAGGCAATGCAACGTTTGAAATACAAGATATTATCTAACCCGTCCGAAGAAGCCATGACTACGAGCGACGAGAGTTTTGAAGACGATGAATATAAGACAAAGGATGACAGTGTAGATATGCTACTTTTCACTGTTTTTTTGTCTACATTTGTTATTGATATTATGTTACGTCCGTATATCATACCCGGACAAAGTGCAGTTCTCCTTTTTTTTTCTTAACAGTGTGATCGAGTTACCTCCTATCAGTACATGTTAACTATAAAAATTTAAATTTTTAACTAGCATCAGTTAAATAACTGGTAAATAGTTACTAGTAAGTTATTATTCAACAAGCGGTTTATTTAATATATTTTCTATTCATTAACTTGTTAAGGCTCTCCTTAGCAAGATGTCAACAATATCTGTCGTGGATTCGTTGGACAACTTCGATCAAACACAAGGTCATGTATCAGATGAGTACAGTCGTACAAGCCAACATTTGCGCGACAGCAGTCGTTTACTCAAGGATTCCTATAAGTGGGTCAGGGTTTCGAGAACAGTGAATAACGTAAGTTATTAATCCGTTTGTAGGGACTCGCATGAAAACGGTTTCCAAAAACATGAATGATATAAGGCTATTTTTACGAGAACGAGTACAGACACGGTTCTCATGCAAGGACTTTAAGCAACTTCTTTGCCATAATAGTACCATTTCAATTGTGAGCTTTAAGAATATTTAGCTTGTTATCGATTGATGTCACAATGATTTCAACAAAGCCGTGTCATAGCACCTCTTAAATCTAATATAGCAGCTGTATTTTAATGTGATCTTGTTAGGATAAGAAAGATAAGCCCGAACCCGCGCTTCCTCCTAAAACGGATACTTCTGTGAATGATTCCGGGGTAAGATAATCTTTGTTGTATTTAGCGGTGCATAAATCTAGGTTCTCTTTTTTATTTTAAAATTGTTGGTATAAAATCCATAGCATGGAGCTTTGTATCGGTTGGTTAGAAAATACGAATATGGAAGGCTGTTGAAGACTAACCAAGATTCTAAGGCTGTTTGCGCAATTGATTGTTATTCCGAAAATTCATATTCAAATAGTTATCCAGTTGTTTCAAAATAAGACACGAGGAAGAGAAATGCAGAAAAGTTACTTCAGAAGACGTCAAACTATGGTCAGTAAAAAGTGAAAACAAATTGCACGGAAGGTTACTTTTAATATTAACAATCCGTGATCAAGATTTAACCACTTTTCGATAGAAATTAATAGCTCCCTGAATACGTGGCGTCTAATATATATATTTATATATATAAAGATAGCTCCATTACTAGATTATTATCCATCATATTGTTTTTTTTTACATGATTCGGTGAAAGCAATACTTAAACAAAAAAGTTTGATATTTCGCGTTTGTCTCTCCTATAATTCATCTGGTATTATGGGCGATAGACTCTAGTTACGCGCCAGATGCTTGCAATGCTCGTCAGGTTATATTTAGGGAATTACAACATTCACTAAAAATGACCTGTACTCCTAAATGTTTTGCTTTCTAATGCTTGCCTGAAATTTGTTTGAAAAAGGTTTGTGAACTTAATATATTTGTAACACGCATTTAGCATTGCTGGTTACTCAGTTGGTCTTACTGGTCGTTGCCATTGTAAAATAGTAATCAAATCAATTGTAAACGCTTGTAAAACAAATCACTAGAAACAATTAAATTCGTCGAAAAAATGTTTATTCACACAAAGGGGGAGGATGTGGTCTATAAGATATTCTAAAGAAGAGCATTATGTAACATACATTACATATAATCAATCAAAGCAGACGTGCCGCATTCATAAAATGATGTGCACATTTCCCACGTATAGCCATTATGAATAATGATTAATTTGTCGCAATGGTTTTATGAAGTATGGTGCATTTGCTACAGAAGCGATTTGTTCTGAAAACATCAATTGCTGTTCAGGAAAGCCGTATCATTCAAAAGCAAACAACCACAGTAGAAGGATATCGTTGTGCTGAATGTTGGAAGAGAACAATGCATGCTACCCTACTGTGGTAAAATTACCCACCGAACAGAATATCAACTAGTAGCCCGAAATCTCTACAGGTGGCGTTGAATGGCTCTACAGGCGAACTGCGATGTGTAACGGCAGAGGACTACATCCGAAGAACGGCTATGGCGCATACTGCTTGTATGAACCGAGCACAACCACCAAGCACTCTTGATACTGAGAAACAGGATCGATATCGTTGGACGAATAAAACCAGCGATCCCGTCGTATGTACTACAAAGGTTTTTTGCATAACTGCGGAGGTCATACAACGCATAAATGTAAATCAAATGCCGAAGTCCAAAACACGTTTTTTTTTCAGCTTTCATAGCTTCCGTTGATTATTTTACAGCGAAAGGATCCTGTGACTGCTCTTGAATCTTACTGCGTATTGAGCGGCAAGCCAACTCCAGGTTATACTGTGACGTTCATGCCGCAGGAGAAAGTTCATTTTTGCGTTCTGCAGGTGGATAATTGTGCGTTCCGTTCCTACCCAAGTATGGCGCTTACCTATAAGAGAGCGGTGGAAATAGCAGCGGAAAAAGCCGTTTCGGCACTTGGTTAGTGAAGTTTGAAGATGTTTTCCGATTTCTTGTTCTAGACGGGAAAGTAAAGAAAAAAAAGCATGTTTGACTGGCGTTGAGTCCGTTATGCTATTCGATTGGCCGTCTTAGCGCGAATCAACACTGGTCCTAGTGGTGTCATCTGGATTTTATCAAATAACAATATGTCTCTCCAGGATGGGTATTTCTCTCATAAACTCAGGTGCCTAATTATTGCAGGTATCACCCAGAAGGTGCTTCAGGACCTCAAGAGACGAAGCGTTTCAAGAGGTACCGTATCGAATATTACTTCTTAGGTACCTTCGTTACAGGATGGAAACGTTGCGATTTTGCACCGGTTTACGAAAGTATTCGTTGGATGAAACTGCAGACCCTCAGAGAAAGTTCTTTGAAACGAAAATTAACTAATAAGCCCCAGTCTCGCAGATTCAGTTGAAAACGAACTTTGATAAGTGAAGAGACAAGATGGTGATTAAATGAGGGTAAGGCATATGTACGTGGTCGTGGAAAAGTACGCCTGTGTCTGTGATGCGCGAAATCGTTTTTGCCTGAGAAATTTATGCCGGAGTGTAATGCTGTACTAATGAAAGTCTATCTTGAAAGAGAGTATCAGAGGTTTCTACTCGGTAAAAACTACACGATGGCAGTCCTGCGAATCTTATTGGTGCAGATAATAATGGCCAAAAACTGCAAACGTACGTAGGCATTGCGATATCCATAATTTGAATAATATTAGATCTTGTCAATAAAGACCTCGAATATATCATTTGTATCTCGTGTGCATTAGGGCATTTTCACTTATTTAGCGTTATAAACATTACACCTTCTGAAGCTCCCTACAGCAGCTGCCTAATGTGAGGTGGTCTGTTTGATCTTGCCAGTTCCTATATTTTTTAATTTAAGCCGTTTATCTATCAACCAGTAATGGATAATCAGTGAAGTGCACCGCATGTTTTTTCCTAGAGTTTGCAGTGGTATGCATATTCCGATTTAAATGAGGTATGTATAAAGTATGATGGTGAAGTGGGTACAGATATTTGTGAGCAAGCTTTTTGGCCCACTTCGTCTTTTTGAGTGACAATCACCCTATACTATTTAATAGCATCATCCTATTACTAAATTCGCCCTATAGTATGATAGCTACCATAGTCCGTGTGGTAGTCCGCATGATAGATAAATCGAATATTTAAAACAACAGATGGAGCCATCCTTTCAAAGAGACTAGATTTTGATATTTTGTGGCCAGTACAACCCGAAAAACGGGTAGCGCTGAGCTAATACCCGAAACCAATTGCAGCGCTTTCGGTATCTCAGTTCTATTAGTTTTATTTTTACCCCCTGCAACCTGTTTCTTTCTCTCTCGAATAGGTCTCGGACATGGTGAGACTTATTCGTTCCGTAGTACCCGATAAGCTTCACCAATAAACGTATCTTACTAATGAATAAAGGTTAAAGAGAAGTGTGATGATGTATTAATCGTCTTGTGATCGAAGTATTGTTTGTACTCGATAATAACCTGTTGAAATTTACCCTAAGTAAAGAGCAACCATTAGACTTAGGTAAGATATTTTCTCATTTTCGCGAAATTTAGGCATGTCATCCCACCGGATAACAGTCATGTGGTAGTCAAATGGTAGAATAAAGGTATCATCAATGTTTTATCAATGTTTATGGAATCAATGTTTTAAACACGGGATACTATAAGCCTTCAACAAGTGCAACGCAGTATATATATATATATATATATATAGTGTGCTTTTACTTTGAATTATAAACTAAGGTATTTTAGAGTCATACAGCCAAACACAACTTGCAATTTAGAAGTTTGCTCGTACGTTATTTATTATAGATGTGGTTTTTTCATGTCACATACAGTAAAGGGTCGATTTGTCCAAAAGTAGCCGACTGACAAGCAGCCCTGCCATGATCACCCACGACTCACACCTTCAAGCTCAATCCAAACTCGAAAAACGTAATACTTGTTCCATGACTATACACACAACTATACAATAGAGTCAATGCTTCGCTATCGGAAAGTCAACTTAAATATTGAATACGAACTTTGCAATAATAATGATCACTGTAGTAACAATACTATTTTGTATCAAACCTAATTTCCTCTTCGTTGCATGCGAATTTCTTTGTTTCTCAGGAGCTGAATATTATACCGGTTTATCGTCTTCCAGCTCTTTTAATCATTATTGAAGTTACTCTCCTTTTTTTGTAGTTGCTTAAGAGCGAAATGGACGTCATCCTGGGTGACGTTCATGTAGATCTTCTGTTGAAAATCATGACGGGAATCACTTAGCGTAAGCAAGCGAAACGAAGCCATACGAGCTAGCATGGTGCTTAGCAAAGTGCAATGGACAGGAGCGACCCCATCAAGCCGTGCCAACGTTTCATACTGCGACTGCACCTTATGAAAGACTGTTTCTTCCACACCTGTGCGTTTAAATTCTTCTATAATGGCGCGAAGCAGCAATTGTTCGTTCACGCTTAATGAACTAATAGCAACCATTTTGGCCGAAGCAAACATTTCCTGGATGGCTTGACTGACATGTCTCATTGTCACCGGGTATTTTTTTGCTTTCTTTATCGGCGAGGTCGACGTTTGTTGAACCGCACCTCGCTGATCGTCTTTTCCCGAAAGCTCAACGGCTCGTCGGCAGACGTCGAGAGCTCTTCGGGCATCGCCTGATAATGCGGCGACTTTGCGAGACACAAGTTGCACAGCATCGGGATCTACCAAGTCTAGCCCATCTAAACGAGCTCGTACAATTTCCTGCAGTTCCTGGAACGTATACGGCTGAAATGTCATTCGAGACAGACCCATACGCGAGGCCACCTTGTTCATAACCATTCGCTCTGGTAAATCCATCGTATTGGCGATGGCGACGACTACCAGGCGCGAATTAGGGTGGGTAGGCCAATCGAATAGATTATAGAGTACCTGCTGTTTTCGCGTCCATAGGAGATCCAACTCGTCAGCTAGTAAAACTATCATCGCGCTTTTAGCGTTGCTTTTTTTTGCTTTGAACATGTTTGTCAGCACTTCAGCAGCGTGTTCTGGTGTCGTCTTTTTACCTGTCAGTTGCCTAAGGATTTGTACATACGCTTGATGAGGTTCAGTTAACTTCATACCATTAATTTCAATGTACTTAAACTTCGGCACTTCGTAATTTTTTTGTGCTTCATTTAAAGCTGTCATAACTTCGCGAACTGTGGCTGTTTTCCCCGTTCCAGGAACTCCGGAGATATACATGCAGCCACCCGCTTCGTCCGATAACCTGCTTTCGACGAAATCGAAGATCTACAAGAGCATGTGTCATGAATCAGAAGTTATAAGATATTAATAATCTTATAACTTTTTTTTGTTTACTTATTAATACTTGTCAGTTGTTCAAATGCATAACTGGGCAACAAATATCTCATAAGCGGTCTTTTGCCTGCTATGTACGAAAGTCAAATTCGCCACAAACGAAATAAAAGATACGCGGGCAGAGCCTAAAATCTATTATTGGCTCCCTTGTTAATTTACAGCGCTTAAGAAATCTAATTTATTTGTTTTTTATTTTTGAGAAGCTCACCTCTGCAAACTGCGTTTCTCGACAAGATAGTTGATCCGGAACAGCACACACGTGCAATTTGTCAAGCGCCATCTCAAAGTCGTTGTTCGTGTTGTTTCTATGAAATACGCGACGCAACGGCATGCCTGGTGCTTTTTGACTAATGACTTTAGAATTAGTTGAACATTTTAGGTTAGCTTTCCGAGTTAACTGTCCCCGAACATTTTTCGTTGATGGAGTGTGCATTAAACCTAAAAGGACGTTTTTATACCTGTTATGATTAGTACATTTTTCCGATAAATTATACGGTATAAAATAATGGAAAAGAAAAGCCGAATCTGTTCCTACACAGTGTTTAAAGTAACTTTTCAAGCTAGGCAGCTTCGATCAACGATTGAAGCACTCAGGTGACGCGAACGGATCAAAGGGAAAACATGAAGTAGGATAGACCCATGTCGCCAGCATCGTTAGTAATAAAGTCATTGTTGCCATTTCACAGGCTTATTAGGACCTTAACGCCCTCTAGTTGTCTAAGTGCAAATAGCGTCGGCTTTTTACTTGTGGATTACCGGCACCTTCTTTATTTTACTGTTTTTCTCTCTATCTTAAAAGATTTGAATAGTTCTTAGCCTGGCCCAACGGTCCGTCCATCCAACTCGCCTGAGTACATGTTCCATCGTCAGTGGATGAAGAGTTTCTTATGTCTAAAATTTACGCTGGCGTAGATAACGGTCTCATAAGCAAGAATTCTCATAAGCCTCTCTTCAAAGTCCTATTATTAATATCTTTTAGTATTGTTATTGTTGGTATGGCAGTTTTACTACTTTTGTCTTGTATTCAATAAATACAAGTGCACTATAAAATCCTGTTACGTTCAAGCCGAATTTATCAAGTCTTATATAACAAAATCCTTGTGTTAATCCTTATATACCCTTGTGTTAACCCCGCGTGATCGATAGCGTTTAGTCTATTGTGAGTGACATTGTTGTGAGTATCGCTGCTTACCTTTGGTGAAACCTTGGCTCCGCTTCGATTTAGGTTTTATGATGACATCATCATCCGAATCTGTCCCTTCAGACTCGTCCGTCGACTCTTCGGTAGAGCTCCCTACGTAACTTTCCTCACTCAGCAGGTCTTCATCTCTCAGTGTGTTAAGCTTGTCAATAGAACTTCGTCTTGCAGCGGGAAACTCCTCTTCGTCGAATGTCATTGCACGCCGCACTTTGCGGCCAGACCTATGTAACATAAAACGAATACACTAAAACTTCGACTTTATATCCATCCTAAAGAGACTACCAGCGACCGAATATCGCTGATGTATTTCACTATAGTTACAGCTGTACGGCATCTGCTAAAGAAATTTTTGAAGAGATAACGGGTACCAATTAAAGTGCTTGTTTTTCATTAAATGTTTATTTACACTAATGAAGCTTACCTGGTGGTCGTAGTTGTATCAACAGTGTTGACGTTTGTGCTTTTTGGTGTTTGGGGAATGTCCTTGTTATTGGGCATAATTTCAGTAAATGCCGATCTTTGTGGTGTTCGAACGGTAAGATCGCTCACCTTCCAACTGAGCTTTTCAACAGTATCTGGGCGTCGTGTATCAATTGCTATCCGTTTTTCGGGCGTGTACTGATTCTCCTTGTTTTTATTGCGCACTAGTTTTATCGGGGAAACCTGAAATAAGTCTACATATATTATCTTAGGCTTAATATTGAATTTCCGTCCCAAATAACACTGGCAATCTATTGGTTTTGCATCTGGTGACATACTTCAAACCGTTAGCTTTATCAAGTAGCTCAGGCCTACGGAGTCCAATGGCTGCTTTCAGCCAGACACTAGCTGAAATATAATCAACGGGCAGCGAAAACCTATCATCCATAGCCATTTCGATAGCAATCATTGTCGTCTAAATATCTGGTGATTAGCGTATTAGCTACATTTCATAGAACAGTTCCGAACTCTATTCTGGACATTTTAATGAACAAAGTGTAGAATTGAAACTACTTTTATTTGTATGCGCTCATAAAGTGTTTGTTATATGTTCAGTTCCCAAATTCATTGCGTGAGCGAGTAGACGAATATTGTGCAGGATCAGGTGGATCCACTTTCGCGTATCATAATAACACAAATTTCGAACACGACATACGTCCCCTGGCTTCGCTATTAGCAACAAAAATAGCGTAAAGGACATTTAATCATTAGCAGATCATTTAAAAGTCCGAAGGATATTGCAAATGCGATATCATACGATACGTTGTCAAACAAAAGGAACAGTAAATCATACCATCTTTCTCGGAGACATGCTAACTAAGGCTTCGTGTTTAATCACGTTTTTATGTTCCAATGCCAGCGAATCCAGTATACCCATTTCTTCAGCTGAAACTTTCTTGTTTTTGAAGACATTGATCGTCGAAACTTTTGAAGACGTCTTGGATACCTTGCGTGGTGTAGTTGCGGGGGTTATCACAGCTTTCAGATGTTGTCGATTAATTATCTCATACCTATGGATGTTAATTGTTAAAGATATCGTAAGGAAACAAGCGCAACCTGGTAGTAGGTTCTAAGACTAGTAAAAAAATGTAGTAAAGGATGTTGTAAAAAATGTGTGCCGAATAAAAAAAACTGACAATTTTTGGTAGTTTATGGTTCCACGCCTACAAGTAAGTCTTTCGTTTCATATAACGCATGTGACTTTGACGTATATCGCATTCGCAATGGATGTCAAACACAATTTCCGTCGCTTAGAAGCTTCATCTTTGTTATATTACTCTCTTAATAATTTCACCTTTATAATACTTCGCTACTTTTGCTCAGGTTGCAGGTCAATCTTTTTTGGGAACGTTTAGGAAATCGTCGGAATCCTCCATATTTTGAAAAAAGACCCATAATGTACTAGACGGAAAATGCCTACAAAGTGTATAACTGACGCACCGACAGTAAAGCTGAGGATTATCATCGTCATCTACCACGTCGGCGAACTCCAGGGTCGTCACGGTTTCCGGTACATGAATAACTTTGCATTTCGAACGAATTGTTTCCAAGTCAATCTGCTTGCCGCCTGTTTTCGGATTTGACCGAAGAACCTTTGTTATATACGCAAGGTAAAAGAAAAATTATCTTTGTTAATAAACAGTGCAACCCGTTTCGGGTATGCTTATTAGATCAAACTAGGGTCCGAGCTTAATGCATACATATATTACCAATTTGAAGGTATATGACATGAACCATGAACTCGTAAAGATTCAACTTCACTTGTGATACGTGTGATAAAAATAACTATAGTATATCGAATAGCAGCGTAACTGTTTAGCTGCAACGAATAAAGCTCAACTCGAATAGATCGTTTAGATATAAAATATTAGGATGCGATCGCCTATTGTGTGAATAAGTGATAATAAGCATTTTTTTGTGAATAAACGTTTTAAGTGCCCGCGACGCACACCAAAAGCGAGCAGCCCAAAGCCACTGTACTTTGAGGTCATATATCTGCATTTTTGTGTTCAGTATGCAGTGTCGAAGATGCGCTCAGTATAATCTGAAAAAAGTAATTTCCTTGTGAGTTAGATTACTGTGGTAAGACCTACCTCACGTTTATCATCAATGTCGTGGGGTAGCGATATTTTATGTTTCTTTGCTTCCGATGGGCGCGTGTACCACGACACCCAGCCCTGATATCGGTACCCCAGCTTTGATTCCTCACCCAAATCACAAAGGGCCTCCAGACGGGCTAAAAAAAAAAAAATTATATCTATCCAACAGATCCAAACAACAGCCAGTCTTCACAAATCGTATAACCCAATGATTTATCAATTACTCTGCACTAGTAACTAAGCTAACTAAATTATTTCGTATGTTCTTCAGAGAAATGTAAGCAATTTTTTACTCTTCTTTGAACTCTAGTTCAACTAAGCGATCCTCTACTTTATGGGTAACTTAGATACCTCATTTTTAGCCAATTACCTTACTTGCACAGCTTTATGAAAAATACAACGATTCGTAGGAACATGCGTCTTAGCCATGTCACGGGGTCTTACCGACGTAAAGCTGAGATCCATCACTCGCATCTAGCGCATCTGCGTTGTCGATTAAGACGCAGTCCTCTCTATTATATAAAACGCCATTTAATTCAAACCCGGAATAGAACTTAAGTCCTTTTTTGGCAGAGACATTATCTGGCCTGTCTGCAGCGTCGCCCCAGCGAAATGACGCGTCCTCATCAAAAGCTTTTTCCGACCAAGTGGGGATCTCTAAACGGCCTCTATGTCGAGTACTCATGATAGCTTTGTTTACCACGGCACACGATCACCTGCGTGGGTGAAACCCAGTTAATTCCGGTTTCCAAATTCAAAAGGACTTTCTAACATTTAACTCGAAAAAAGACACCTATTTATTAAACCTTCATTAATGACTAAAATGTATGAGTATAATATCTAGCCGACTTGGAGGCAACTAAGATCATTGTTTGAGCTCTTCTGTGTTGCACAATGGGCATAGTTTGAGCTGTAGGAGAAATGCGCATCGCTTTTTAAGATAAGCTACTATGAGAACAACGATTCTGAGAAATAAAAAAATCATGGCTGCATATCTGCGTACTTGGAATCGGTAGATCCTCGCTCCAGTTTTTCGAAAAATATCCTTTGAGTAGTATCAATTAGTAGTAGTGGAAATAACATGAAACAATGTTCCTCTGATGTGGTCATCGTATTCCAAAATAGTGAGCATAATCAATCGATATAATGACACAGCTCGTTCTTTCCGCCAATGTAATATGCGTTGCAGATTTAAGCAAAGTATTGCATTTTTAATTAGTCATGCTTAGCGTGTCCGATACATTGTTTTCGTAATTTGTTTATAATTAAGGGTCTTGAGTTCAACGTCGTTTGCCTCTCATCTTATACAAAAATTCCACTTTACATATAAAATCACTTCAAACTTAATTTTAAAATACCTATCAATAATTGTGTGAACAGAATACATCAGTGTGAAATTATTAATTGCGCCGTTATACTGCTTGAAATTTTTATATGGCCAAAGGTTTCAATCGAATCCATTTAATAATTAATCGTTTTACCTAGTAAAGCTGACAACTTCAGCCATCAGCAGATTTTAGAGGGTATAAAGTCGACTCAAAATGTAAGTAAAAATTCGTTCCGTGCTCTTGTATAAACGTGCTTTACCAGAAAATCTACAGTGTATCATGATTTCCTTATCTACCCCTATTGTTACATGAAACTGTAGTAACCGTTTATCGATAACAAAGAGATTGGATTAATTGCATATGATGCATGGCCATTGCGGCACTTAGACACGGAGAAAAATTATATCCAACGTACCGTCATCAGGAGATAAGTCGGTTAAAGCTTCCTCGAACTGAGAGATCATTTCATTGTACAACTAAATTTTCCATTGTCTTGGCGCCAAAGCTTTCCGTTGATTAGGTGCTGAAGATCCGTCGATCTGGAGAGGCGAGAGTAGGCAATTTCAAACATGCCCCTTTCCCTACTGTTAGATGGTAAGAGTGGATCGTTTCTCGCTTCAACTTCAAATCTTCACCAGCGCATGAAGTGTTTCCTTTAGGCCTTGTAACTCGTGATAAATTTATCAATTATTGAACCTGTTGGCTCTGGCCTTAATATACAATCACTATCGGGTCGAACTCCCAACTACTGCTATCTAGGGGCCGACGTTCAAGCATTGCACAGATATCTACAGCCAGTGTAATCGCCAACTTAGCGCTGGTTTTATTTCGCGTCGAACGATGGCCGGTCCAACTGGTGTCTGCAGGTTTGAAATATTCGCGCCAGTACCTCTCTGACCGACAACGGTTGTGTGTTTGTACTTCTGGCCGTCTCGGCGGTGTCTCTCTGCTGTGTGCGGCCGGAGTATATACTCTTGTGGGCTAGGAGCAGTCGTACTGTAGAAAAAGCTGATATAGGGAGGGCCCCACAGTTTCAGTTTGTAGACAGGCAGTGCAACGGACCCGGCACTTTCGGTTGGTCCTCACAGCGGAGCCCCTAGTAGGCTGCTCACGATGGCAGGAGGATTTCAGACAGGGGACGAGATCTTCATCAAACGCTCAAATGGTAAGTGGTCTCGACATGAACACATTGTAAACTTGTTGGTTTACCGTCGGTTTCATAGCTAGTCGTAGTTGATCAGAGTGCTCAGTGTTTGCAAGGAAGGATTTTCGGACATCGAGAGCTCGCTCGAATTTGTGGTGTGGTTTATTCTTAGGGTCTGCCGGTGCCTCGGGATGACCGTTAACAACACGGCCGGACCTCCCTACAATAATACTATCAGCAACGGCCATTGAGCGTTGAATGTGCGTGCGTACGTGCGTGTGTGTGTCTATACCTAGAATATCATTAGGAGAGGTTGTTATAACGAGTTTATTATGATGCATTTTGTCGAGTTTGGCCAAGTGATGCTAGCCTCCGTTGAACTGTTACTGCGTTCGATACAGATAATAATCGTTGAAACGCGAATCATGATTCAACGGATATTTCTATTTTAGTTATATCTTTGCTGTTAGCAGAGATTGAAACTTTAATTAGAGCTCTCATGCAAAATTCCTTTAAGGGCCTACTGGGGACGCCCATAAAGTAATCTACAAATGTCTCTATACAAAAAAATATATATATTTATATGTATATAATAAATTCGACGTATCATGTATTGTTGACGTAATCGCCTTGCAACAAACGTTTCTTTATTTTCTTACATGTCGGTCGTACGCTCGGGTGTGCATTGGCCAACGACTGTTGCGCTTCGTGCGTATACGTCCAACCTATCCGCGTATTCGGTGTGGTGCGTGCTTTCTTGGCAAATTTTATTTTAGGAGCGGTTCATCCCGCTATCATAACGACGATAAAGGGTTCATCTGTACAAGTCGAATGGAATGAACACGGCGAAACCAAAGGAAAGGAGGTACGTAGCATATTCAGAAACTAAGCCAGTCCTATAAGCATTGTGCATATTTACTCATCGTTGTGTGTGGAGCAACAATTTGTCACATCGTTAACCAAGAGCAAAAATTAGCTGTACGTTCTTCTCCACAAACCAAATTAATAATAGCCATAAAAAAAAGCTGTATTGAAATAAAATAGCGTACCTTGGAGACGGACGGTTGCTGTCGGGGGTGGCCGTTTCACTTCTTTTGAACGGTAGACCTCCTAAAAAACTATGCGTGTGTGTGTGAGTGTGTCTGTGTGGCCCTATGTGTGTAAGTGTGCTTGTCTGTGTCGGCAACGAAAAGAAATCGTAGTGATGGTAATGCTTGAAGTGATAATTTTTTTCCGATTGTTGAGCTTTTGCTTGCCGTGTCCACATCTTTTTTTTTGATAATAGATAGATCGGTGACGGCCAGCGAAACACGAATACTTAAATTTAGCTCTGTTCTTGCTACCCGGAATTTCGTTCTGCGCCCACAGCCATACGCCCTCTTCCCGAAATGATGTAACTTCCCTTTTTAGTGTCCCCAATGTAAAAACATCCGATGATCTACTGGTCATTCTTAACGTGCACTGTATTTATATAAATGTCAAAGTAATATTTTCTTGTGATGATGATGGGGGCACGTATCGTGTTATGGAGGACGAGCAAAATCGTAGAAAGCGTCGAAGAGGGACCAAAAGGACGGTTGTTGCCATATAGTTGTTGTGATCAGCAGTATTTAGGAACTAAACTGTCAGTTTGTAGACCTTACCTATTCTTCCAAGTATGTTATGTAGTTTGCTTTTTTTTTTTGTGCTGTTTAGATAACGTAGTGCTATGATGACACGGACCAATGTAATTGACGATCCGAAATATATGTATTTTCTCGTTAATGAAAAAGTAAGGTAAAATTTGATGTTACTAAGCTTAGTTTTTTAGCAGCAGCGAATGATACATGATTATTTCACGTTTCCGAGCATCCACATGACTATCATTTTGTGTCTATGGTTTTAATTGTGGAAGTCTTGTAACCGATACAAAAATGGTAAGGGCTACTTATTACAAACACATGTTGTTGATCCCCCTCGCAGTAGTGAACATTAATCATAATTAATTATGATATTGGTTACATTATCTAAAGCAGTGTCACTGATGACTTAACACTTAGAATATACAGATGCCATTTCTAGCTTAGCAGCTTCACAATAATCAGATTGTCCTCAGATCGAAACTACAGTTTCGATCTGATTTAATAATCAGCATAATAATTAGTTGAATCAATCCACATGTAACAAATACAATTCACTTTTCCGAAATTGATAATTTATGCCCATGGCAACTGACTGTGCAACATCAAACCTTTCTAGAATTCTACACTGTCATGCACATAAATAGAAATACACCTTTCATGCATATAAGCAGAAATACACCATACGGGACAAAGAAGAGAAGCGGCCCAAATTAAGTGCGTTGCATAAATGCGCAATTCAGAAAAGAGAGATAAAGGAAACGCTTTTAGACAAACCTGCCAACGAGTAACAAATGATGTAGCAAATGGACACAGTTAAATTATACCTACGCGGCAAGATTTAGTACATGTTAACACCTTGTGGCGTCTTAATGATACCGACACAACACAAGCAGCGACGCTAATGTGCTATTGTGAGGTTCCCGTTGGTCTGGTACGCACATGTTCGTACCCATGATCAGTTTGATGGTATTTAAATGGCTGGCTGCACTGGCATCGGTGTCATGCATACTGTCGTGACCGCATAACATCGGTTAATGTTTAGGTTTTCCTTTTAATATGATTTTTATGTTCTGCAATCATGGTGCGTTACCTCGATATATTATTGTACTCTGCCTATAGGAGCGAAATGGGTCGTTTACTAGAAATGTAATAGAAATGAACCTGTACGTTCGTTATGGGCTATTAGCTAAGAGTTCATGTAAGCCTTTATATCATCTCTTCGGTTTATTTTGTAGTCTGTCCTATATCGTACAATCACTGTCAGCGTAATGGCTATCCACGTGGAAATGCGTCTGAAGTAACGACATTTTCCTTCCGTCAACGAAGTCTTTATTCCGGCTTTCTCCAACTGTTTTCGGCTTTCTCTGCCTCGCTTTCGGCTCCAGCGAAGACGTTTCTTTTCGTCTCCTCGAAAACCTGCTTACCTACCGGTGATGAATCACGTTAATAGATCTCTCTCGCTAAAATGTCTGTTGCTATTTTCGCTATATTTTTTCATGTGACGAACGACTGTGATGAGTCATTGTAGATTGCTGGCTTGTCTCTTTCTTTGTCTCTGCGTTTCTCCCGCGCCATTACACTGCCGCCGCTGGTTGGCTGGCTGGAAGCGACGATCTTTTTTTCTCGCTTCGATGCACCCCCTTGGATAGGAATAGTTCAGTCAAGCAGTGATTTTGCCATGATACGTTCGAGCAGTATCACTGCCGCGGCCGTTAACAATTTTCGTTGACGGTCCGCGTCATTCTTTTGCCACTAGTGGCACTGTCGCTGGCTCAGTGCCATAACGGCAATTCTGAAGACTAATACTAACTGGACGGCCAGAATGGTAGATAGCAGGCAATAGGTGGAGAGAACTGGTGGACAGCATAACAACGACAATAATAACGGCACTGTAAGTCCTAGTCAGTCCGGCTCGATCCAGTCTGATCCGATGTTCTCGCTTGCCCGTTGCTAATTGGATATGCGTTCGCGCTATTGCTGGGGCTGCTTTTGGATCAGGCTGTGGGCTAACTACCGCTGCTGTTCTAATCCTCACAGCGATGATAGTACGGGTCCCAAGAATCGACGGAAGGCGACAGTTGGCAACAGGTGACAACTCTGAGGTGCTGTTGTTATTGTTGGCATTGCTAATGTTCATTATATCGTTGCTGGCGTAATTCAAGGAAAAGTAGAAGAGTTTGACATGAAAAAGTTCTGTACGAATCGACTAGTATAGCACATACACGCACGGACCACACACGGATAAATAGACAGACACACGCAAATGCGAGTACTTATAGAATGTTTAGTCACAAGCGGTATCTGCTGTATAATATATGTATTTGTGTGTGTGTGTGCGCGTGAAGATAAGTGAGGAATGACGTGCGAGTGGCGGAGACGTGAAGTGGAGCATTTCGGTTACGCAAGCGAAGCGCCATTTCCATCTAATATTTCTGGCGTTTTTGCGGGTGAAAAGGTAACAACAGTTACCGGTTGCTAGGCGAAAATGCTGCTTCTACAGACAAAAAATATAGTTAAGCTTAAACGATGTAAAGAAGGATAACGTCTTTTGGGAGTGCGTAATAGCAGCAGTGTAGCATATGTGCGAATTTAGAACAACTGCTTCTTACACAGTCGTATCAACTAGACGGGATTTTAGTTGATTTAATATACAAACACGGGTCCCGTAATCAAATGCAAAAGATAAAATTGTTAAAATGAATATTAGTAATGTCATCTAAGGCTTGCTGAATCGTATAACCATACACAGGGTAGCTTTACACTGGGATCATTTTTTTGTCTAACGATCCAAAAACTGGCTTACGATGGTGCCACCTTAAGGATGCCTTAGTAATGCGTGAACAAACGAACAGCTCCCATTTAGTGCACAAAGGTCTTCGTCGATTTTATTAGCAATTTCAGTTTAATTCACAACTAAATGTTGTATGTCAGTAAGTTACGTGTAGTGTGAGGTTTTTACCAGTCAGACTAATGGTAGATGATAACTCTGTATTCCTGCTATCGCCATCGTAGTTGTCGATATCGGACGTCATCGAGCTCAATCGACAGAAGGAGAACCACCCGGCGATATCCTCGCGACCTACAATAACGGCTACTGGGGCGAGCAGTGTGGCTTCGGGAGGACCTTCCGCTCAAAGAGGCACAGGGCCGGATCGGCGAACTGTCGCCCCGCAACCTTCAAATCAGCATTCAGCTGCCGAACAGACGCGCAGGATTCCCAGAGTTACTTGTAAGTTTTTTTGTGATAGTTAACGTATTATAGTTGATAGCCCCATTATTTATGTTTAGATTTTGTTATCCTACTCCATAAATAGTTAGTTAACGCTTACGACGGTATTAATCAAGCTGCAGTTGGTGACAACAGTCATTAATAGAATGCGTGTATATTTATTGGTCTTAGTATTGGTTAATGTTATTATCTCTACTTTATCCTACTACCACCCTTGTAAATAACCTTGCTTATTTATTCCAATAGAAGTCATGTGTTCTATTTTATTTTGGCTGAAAATTTTAGCTCGTCCTATTGGCATGGAGGACAGCCGTGTTCCGGGCAGTTTGAATAGTTTGAGTAATAACTCGTTACATCAGGACAATAACCACAATGTTCAGACAACGCACGCGCCAGCTGTAGCTACGGTACCTGGTGGCAACGCCCGTCGAGATCGTCTTGGCGGGCGTCCGGAGCCTTTGGCATTGCGACGATCCGAAATATCAAAGCCGCGCAACGTGCCTGCTCAACCGATAAAAATGGCGCGGCCAACAGCGGTTTCATCAAATGTGGGAAAAAAACACCCTCATCAAAAGTTCCTCAATATGATTGAGTGAGTGTAGCTGCCTTAATTATTCTTATTAAACAGAATAATGCGATAGAATACGCGTCGTCCAAAAGAGTTCGGTTGTCCATTTCCATAATACGTTTCAGTAGCTTCCGATGTGAAATTAATGTTGTCTATACAACTAGCTAGAAAACATTCTCGTAAATTACTCCAGGTTGAATAGTGGCATACTGCACATACACTTACAAATGCATTTATGTGATTATTATCGTATCATCAATCCAAATTTCCGTTGTTCTACTCGCCTTTCAGGGATTATCGGCACCAGCTACCGCGTATGGCTCCACCAGCCAACCCACCGATGGATCAGCGGATTACCGTCGCTGTTCGAAAACGTCCATTGGGAAAAAAAGAAATAACAAAGCAAGAAGTAGATGTAATTACCGTGCCATCGAAGGATCATTTGATCGTACACGAGCCGAAAACCAAACTGGACCTAACACCGTATCTGGAGAACACACCGTTCCGTTTCGATTACGCCTTCGACGAGAGCTCAGATAACGAGCTCGTGTATCGTTACACGGCCAAGCCGCTTGTCAAAACTGTTTTTGAGGGCGGAATGGCAACATGTTTCGCGTACGGCCAAACAGGGTCGGGAAAGACCCATACGATGGGTGGGACATTTGTCAATGATGGCAAAGGAACACAACAGGTTGATAAAGGCATCTACTATTTTGCTACAAAGGACGTCTTTGCTACACTTCGTTCGCCCCACTATGTCCGTGAGAACTTAGTGGTATGCGCGAGCTTTTTCGAAATTTACGGTGGTAAGGTGTTTGACCTACTGGCTGGGAAAAAGTTGCTTCGGATCTTGGAAGATGGCAAACAGCAGGTGCAGGTCGTGGGCTTGTCAGAAACTCGTGTCCAAAATGTTCAGGAGGTCTTGCAGTTGTTACAACAAGGTAACGCCTGTCGTACGTCGGGAACGACATCAGCCAACGCGCATTCATCGCGTTCACACGCAGTCTTCCAGCTGACGTTGTATCGACCAGCTGGCCGTGAAATGCGCCTTCACGGGCGTTTTAGTTTAATCGATCTGGCAGGTAATGAACGTGGCTCTGATACAGGGAAGGCTAACGACCGAAATGCGCAGCGTGAAGCTGCAGATATCAACAAAGGTCTGTTGGCATTGAAGGAATGTATTCGAGCTTTAGGTCGAAAGGGCGCCCACTTGCCCTTTCGTGGTTCCCGTTTAACGCATATTCTTAAGGACTCTTTTGTCGGTGAAAAAAGTCGGACGTGCATGATTGCCATGATTTCACCAGGGATGGCATCCTGCGATTATACACTAAACACACTCCGCTACGCAGATCGCGTGAAGGAACTCGCCGTCGGTGATCCAACTGGACAGCGAGATAGCCCTGTTGATGAGGCAGGTGACTATTTAATGGACCGAGATGATTTGCTTGCAGGAGAAGATGCACTAGGTCGCGCCTGTGCCCAAGTGCAGGATGCCGAACAAGTTGTGTGGGAACAACATCAAGATCTTCTTGCTGAAACGGAGGATTTTCTTGCTCACCTTCAACAGCTACGCTCGATGGCCAACGACCCCGATTACGATGTCATGGATTACACGGTTCGTCTCAACGACGCCTTAGGTGGTTTTGATTCAATACGTGCTCGTGTCGAGCGACTGCCAGAATTCACTCGTAGCCTACAGGAAGCGCTAGTCGAAGAAGACAGGGTGGCAAAGGAACTTCGTGGCTAGACTCATTACGGTCTGCTTGAACGGACCGAGAGATCAATCCTAACTATAGATGATTAAGGAAATGAACCATAGTGGAAATATATGACAACGAAAAACTAAACTGTATACAGCATCCAGCAGTGGTACTGAAACGGTAAACGAGTGAAGGTCGAGAAGTTATCTTTGCTCTAGTTGTCAGACGTGGGTCGACAGCGTGACGAATAGTTGCTCTGCCACCCTGTCTACGGTTATCCGTCACTTATTGATATACTGCAATGGAAATTCCTCCACTTGGATGCCCACAATATACAGAACTTTGTTCTCAAAAATCTTGTTTACGAACGTAATAAGCGTTAGACAAAGATATCTGCCACAATCAGGGGTCCTACATATATATCTATGTATATTGTAAATAGATATTTACTAGAACGTTATTTGATGTCAAATAGACTGGTACTTCATTGCTTAGCCTCATAATACAATCGAAAAACAATGAACTGATTGGCATCGATTCAATTTATAAAGATGGAACAAAAGATGTAGAAGACGATAAATAATCAGGACGCGACGCAAAAAGAGCCAATCATCTGGTCTCTTTTTTGTTTGTCTTCTGCGAATGTTGGGTGTGCGGTAGAAGGACATGATATAGCTTACGCCTGAATGAGTCGCGTAAGGGGCAGGTAAACAAATGGAAGAACTAAAATTATGACAGTCGTTTGCGCAAACGACGACATGCCAAATAAAGGCCGTTTGGAGGGATTATCGCTTTATAGGTAATGTAGGTTTTATTTCTAGGTGCGCTGAATTGCCGGTCACGAGAGGGATGGAAAACGAACAGGCGGGAACGGATTAGAGTGACGATAACTTTCTTAAAAGCCATTCTTAAATGAAGTCAAATGATATCTATAACATTTAATGTTCTATGATAATTATTCTTTGTTGTGGACGTTACGAATTCACGAAGAGCTACTATGTTTGTAGGCAAAGACAATGTCTACATGCCTACAGTTCAATCAGTATCACAGTCAGCCAGCCCCACTTTACGATTTTATAATAAACATGACCTCGTTTTGAGATTTCGAAACGCAGCGATGACAAAAAAGGACATATCATACGAAAATTGTACTATTGTAAGCTCAACTAAAGCCTTACTCAACGTTGTATGTAAGACTTATCCTTTGTTTAGACGCTGATTTATACATACGTGATACTCCTCTTTGCAATTTATATATACGCCTGTATAATGGCAAATATGTGGAGGAGCGCGGCATTTTACGGGGTATTAGTCTACGTTTTTAGAGTAATAATGATTTTCATAATAAGGGTCAGTAATGATCTAAATGACGTATTTTCCTTTGACATCACCGTTAAACGATAGGTAATACAACGGTATGTTTTTATAGAGGCGTACACTCCTATAGGTAAATAGCTTCTCTAATGTTAATTTCGTTTCTTTCGTCATCTACTCGGTAGAGCATCTATAGTGAGATGATGTTCCTACAACTAACACAATGGTAGCAACGGGAAATCGGGATTTTCAATTACTTTCGGGTAGGGTTCGACGCGGGGTCGGATAGCGATGATGGATGTGGTCATAAGGATTCTCCTATGTAGGTAGTTCGAGCAAGAACCGGGCAAACCTTGTCACCAATGGAAACAAGTACCTTACATTTGCGACGTTATCTCGTGTGAATAAACGGTTTCACGATAGCTAGAGGTACGTGCTCAGGAGAAGATTAATAGCCTTCTATGGACCATGTAACATGGGTGTCGCTTGTTTATACTGCGAGTTGCACATCTATTGATGCACAACTTTACACTTGTTCGATTAATTAACAGAAACATTGTTTACCGAAGAACCACTTCGCTCTAATAATCGCCCATGTGTATAGTATCAACTGAACACGGAACTAGGTTTACTTTTTGTACCAATAATAATTAAATCGACAATTAGATGTGAATATACTCTACTTTTCGAAAAGTGCGACAGTTCATTTAAAACATCCGGACGTACCAATGAGGTTGGCATTGACGTTCACTGTCATTTCTTTTACTGTGCAGTGTACGATATCCGATCATTTTGTAAAAGACGGTCCCACAAAACAACTTTTAACTGTAAGTGTCGAAGGTTGTGACATTATGGAGACGAATTAAATCAAATGGAAAATTACTACACTGAATGTAAAAGATAACATTAATGTGTAAAATAGGCCGAACAAGCGCTACGAGCTCCTCTTTTGGCCTCGCTTGCATCAAAGCCGTAATCGTGGCCGATATGGAAGTTAGTGGTATGGAAAGAATGCTTCAGTTTTGTGAGAATTGCACATTGATCCCAAGTAGTTCGCATGGGGAATTTTATGTCGTGGAACATCTTAACGAAGCTCAGCTCAGAACACCGTTTTGTTACTGGCAATGGTTGCAAATTTTTTTGTTTCCCGCTGTCCTTGGACCAATACAATGAGCAACGGGCGCGTATAATAGATAACTGAAGATGACTCTACTCTGTTTGAGTATACGTTTTTCAAGTCACATGGACCCTGGAATATACTAGAGTATCTATATATCATTCTAACGAACAAACAAAAACTTCTCCAAGCAGATAACAAAATAAGCCAAAATAAGCAGACAACTGACGTCACGAACTCTTTTATAGTTTTGTTATACAATATCATCTAAATATATTCAAAATATTACGATTAAACGTGATGGCAATGCTATTTATGCGGAATTTCAGCGCCGCAGCAGTCAGTATTAACACTTAAACCTTGTTATCAACCAGCAGCTTATTAATATAGTAATTTGTCTATCGTTGGTTAAAGGTTAAAAAAGTAACTGCTGACTCAACTACGATCAGTTGAGGTGTGGCAGACGAATCCACGTCTGGCCACTGTGTTGGCCTGGGCATTCTTCGCATGGACAATGATCGGTAATGGTATGCGTGCCGATACAAGGGATCTTTCATTGTCGTTTATGTACAGGAACCAAAATGTATATAAGGACATCAAAAAAACCTATCAAATATTGACTTTTTAATCGTTGCCCTTAATATGAGTCAAAGGTGAGGCCCTGCCAAGAATGCTAGACACGTGAAGAGAATGCATGTTTCAAGAAGGTGTTTGTGCTAGTGCAACAATCCTATACAATGCAATTTTCAGTGTTTAACGATCATAAATGGATAGTACAAGTATAATCAAATATGCCGCCTTCTTAACGATAAAGCTGAAGTTGAAAAAACTAAGGTCTATGGTGATCAATACATCACATCCGTCGCTGGCGCTATTGAAGTGAGATAAAAACGAAGATGCTGACACCTGAATTAAAACAGACATAATAAAATTCATAATAAATATACAGGTAATTAAGAATAAACTAAAGCTAGTACATGCGTTATGCACGAAACAAAGGTTTTGTGCGTGTTTTATTTAACTTGAGGTCAATTTTATTAGAGGGCTTTTTGGACGCTTATGGTGCGGATTATTGAACTAGCTGTATGCGAGCCATGGGCAGTATTAAGGACGATCTGTTCGTACCACTATCAAGAAGTATGTAAGGATCGCAAATTCAGTAGAATAAATAAAGTAATTTAGCAAAGCTAGATAATTATTTTCTGATTAAAGAGAAAATGCTCTAGGTACGGCTATCAGGTTGGGTCGAAAGCTACAGAATTATAGAAAGTCTCGACACAAATGTTCAAACGATAATTTTACGTTCGTCTTTATACGGGCTCAAAGTGATTTAATATTTCAATTCTACAAATGATCTATATTATGAATCACAAATTGCTCAACTCTGCTCTGTTGGGTCTGGTTTAAAATCGGAGCCTGCGGTACATAAAGTGATTTAAAAATTTATGTGAAATTTGGAAACAACAGATACTGACAGTTACTACTGTTCAGTTTCCGTGTAGATGTAAATTGGATAATTATGAATGGCTGACGAAGGCAGCTGATTGCCGTGCTTTTTTTGATTAAGGTTTGTTGAGTTGAAGAGCATAGGTCACGAAATTCTTCAAAACGGAAATGCAAGGGATACATTAAAAATTGACTTTGCCTTTTGCTTGTGGAGCTAAATAAAGAGTGCCTTGAACCCGAGCTGCTTAACTCTCACCGTTAACCGTCACCGGAAGTGAATTCGTGTGAAAGTTACCCGCTGATAGTCGCTAGGTGGTTAACCCCGCAAGACATCTGGGTCTATGTAGGTAGACAGACAGTATTGAAAATGCAGAGCGTTTACTACTATGGCATCATTACAGTTTTTTGCACGCCGTTTACTTTTCAGTACTATATATACAATATTAAAGGTGGGGCTTCTTATTAGTGCTTTCATCATGATCTTTTCTTATCATCACGGTCATTCAGCATATCAGTTTCATTTCTCTATTCGCGCGATAAATCCGGCAAATCAGCACTGATGCATTTATGAGGATAAAATTCAAAAGTGTAGCACGGTAAAGGATATTTATTGCGACCATTTAATGGAGAATGTTTATGCTAAACGCCAATCACTTTTTTTACAAAATGATCGTTGTATTCTACTGTCAACGGGAAATAACCAAGACTGTCGGGTCAGTGTCGATTTTTATGCGTGGGTTCCCGGGGATGCGCGGAAAACCCTCGGCATACAATTCAATGCTTGCCATTTGAGAAGGGGATTCACATCAACCCTTGCCGCGTCCAGGGCTTGAACTCGCGGCCCATCTTCTTCTTATATATGATTTTAATACCGTCTTAGACTACTCGAGCTAACGTAACGCACGAGAAAACACTATTGTGTCAGTAGAGGAGCAATACATAGTACATGGCTGAAGCACAGACCCACTGACCATGGTAAGTCCCCATGAAAAAGTGCTTTGTTCCATGCTATGAATACGGAAAACTGCAAGTAGGAAATCCCGCCCCCCGTCGTGTGAAAGTGCTCCCTAACATTCTAGCGAAATTTGCAGGTCATTGACATTCAGTCCGGCATGTCATATGTGGCGATAATGGTTGAAGTGGTGACGGATTTTGCATATGTTTAATATAAAGCTGACCATACATTTAAAAGAGTGCTATTGCTATGAAATTTACATATAGTTTTTTATATAAAATTAAACATTTCCTTTACTTCGAGCGTATTCGATGAATATGCAGGGGAGAAAGTAAGAAAGTATTTTTTTAGCCATCTTATTTTGGGCAAGAGAGCCTTCATATTACGTTGTATTAGATAACATAGAAGGCAATTTTCACTATTCACTACTGCTTTACGGACGAAATTATATAAATGCGATCTACAGGTTTAGCCGTTTTTTAAACGCGGTAGTGTCCAAAATAGCCATCGGTTTCATAAGCTGTTACGTATAATCCAACTTCAGAATTCAACGCCATGGATGAACGAAATTGTTTGGGTGAGCTTTAATCCGCGTTAGAGCCCACTTTGTGCAGGTTTGTTAATAAAACCGTTAACTAACAGACTCTAATTATCTTCGTGAGTTCTGAAGGCAATTTCGTTGCTAAGTGGTATTTGTCTGTACCCTGGTGAGCAAAAATATATTATAATTACATTACGGTGGTTTTGATGGCTGATCAACCTGATGACAAAAGCAAATCATATTGCTATCATGTTAGAAGCATCCGATCGTGATCGAGTTGGCATACAATTCAGCAGGATTTAAATAAACTAACTTCATAATCTTATAATATCACGCGAATATTGATTATGTAGGATGTCTATAATGCACAACGAGGCTTAAACCGGAAGTCCGATGATTTGTTGTTGGACAACCTGATTCAGAATACATGGTTTCTATTCAAAGAGTTCTAAAGCCTGCTTCTGCCTTACGCTTCGGCCTCATTCAAGCGTTTTCGTTTGTCTTGCGTAGTTCGTTACTTCCTGCGTTGGGCCTTGCTTAACTTTGCCGCGAACTTAGAAACTTAGACATCTGTGGAACTACTTGCGGGCGATGTTGTGGTGTTAACGAAATCTAGTGGCTTGGCAGCATTGCCGTTGGGACGATTTGGGGAAACTTTATTCTCGGTAGATCTTGTTGTACCATTAGACCTATTGTCATATCATACGATAGCATTAAAGATTGGTGATGATAATTCAAGTACATATTTGTTCTTAACTGTATTGTAACAAACTATAACCTGCGAGCGGCTTTGTAGATAAATAAAGAGCTCGATTTCATTATCGCTTCTGCAGCAGTTAAACAGTTTTATTCAGGAACACTGAGCTAACGACCTAAATTTACCTAATTTATTTACCATATACTCAACGCCACGCCTATACATCGCCTCAAGACCAAAATATACCTTACTGCTATTCAGGTGAATGCTACAATATAGACTCATAATAAAACTGAAAAAATGAGAAAAACTTTTGTTATATTATCACAGTTTGCTATGCCCAAACTCCAATATGGTGTGAGTTTTTTTTATCTGCAGTCGTTGTTTTTTCTCGCACATGTGCAGGACAGGGGCCTAGTGCTGGTCATCAGCAGCCAAACTGCTATTTCAGCTCTGCTTCCAGATATTTCTGCCAGAAACAGCCTTTAAACTGTATAGGTTCTTGATAGTATTTAATCTGATAGAGCTTATTCTAAATTACAACGCCGGTTTGCTCAAGTCTGTAGTGCACACAGAAATTATTTCAACGCAGCGGCTGCGGAATGCTATCGTTGTAATGACCGGTATAACCTTGGTTCTTTGATTACATATATCGACCAGAGGATCTCCTCGTTTTGATAGCAATCTCTTTTTCAGTCCTGTTCTCTATCCGTTAGTTGTTTACACATGTTGTTACACAACGATGTACGTATATATAAATTTCTTGTTTGTTTTTCATGATCCGACGGAAGTTAAGTGTGTCTATACATCGGAGCGACATTTTTCTGCAACGACCTGCGTAACTGATTTTCACCTTTAAATGTTACCAAATCAAAGACAGAACGAAAGTGAAAATGACTGAAGTGGAAATTAAGCCGTTTGATTAAAGAACTTCCCGGACGCGCATTTTTCTGCTCTTCGCTCACTCAGACTTAAGACAATCAGTCCCACCTTCCGGCCGTATTTTATATTTCGTCGAAGCGCGTACCCTAGTTATTAAAACCCCTGCGTCTCCTTACGGCTGCTTATTTCAATAAACTCTTCTGCATTTACCAAGCTCACTTCTCTTAAAGCATCTCCGCCAGTTCTATATAATGCGAACAACGATTAGTCGTCAGTGCATAGCATAAGGTCGTCATTCTGACATTATAGCAGGTATATCTCACAAATCAATGTGACAACTGAAGTGAACGATCTCTGTAAATTTGCCACGTAACTTTAAAAAGTTTGCTAGATAAAGATACACTTTAATAAATTTACAAGGCATATTGATCCAATAAGCTTTACATTAAACGCATTATTAACGATGTTTCGCTCATTGTAGTAGATTTGACTGGAATAGTTATATTTGGTGGACGTGCTTTCTGCTAAAGTGCACTGCATTCATATATAACTGTCCTGGTTTCTTCATGGTGACGCTAAAGAAAACTGACTTTCGAAGCTTTCATTTGAATTGCGTCTGGGCGTATCGATGCACCCTGGCTTTAAGTAGTCTTTAGCGATTTACCGATGAGTTTAGATGTTTGTCCTCGAACCAAGTGTGAAGTTTACATTAATTGAATATATTTACAATTGAGCTGGATGTTTTCCATTTATGACGTTTCTTGTAGATTCAACAATTGCTACGACCAGGATCGTCCATGGAAAACCGTCCTGTCGTTTTTTTTGTAGTCTATATACTCACATTGATGATATGCTCGACAAAAGCTTGCGTCCACAAGGGAACCGAGTGCATCGATTATAAAGTACTTCGCAACGGCACGGTGAGCTCAATGATATGAATCACTAAGTCTGAGTTGTTACTTCAGCGAACATCTCAGCCGTCATTGGTCTTAGCTTTCAAGAGTGATGGGTCATATATGCGCTGAATCAAAGGTACTTAGTTTGAAGCTGATTTGAGTAAAGCTTAATATTAACGACCGATAAGCCTCATAATTATTGCTCGATATAATCGACTATGTATATATTTTTGTACAAAGGCAATTGTGGCGTAAGTAGACGCTTTTGCTATATGAATTTAGTAACACACAAAGACTATGATAAGTAATTTGCGATGTTATATATATATATATATATAAAGGAAGGAAAATAATTTTTTCATAAGAATAATTTGGAATTGCTTATTCACATAAGCACCTCTTTGCTCTAGTAAGCTGAATTTTGGTTTTATTTCTCTAGACTTGCTGCTAGTTGTAGCGTGCCTTGAATATAAATCGTTTCAGAATAATATTCATTGTTACTAAAATTATGAGTACAAATATAATATAACCTTGAACTCCTTCCCAGCACCATAAGGATATTAATTGTGCAATATTGTCACGTAGGAAATGCCAGCTTTATGCTGAATCTGCGCTTTATAATGACGTATTTGGATTAACTCTTGTGTTATCTCTCTTCCTCTCCGAATTCGTACACGAAAAATAGGTGCATAACTGAACTTAGCATACGGTAGCAATCTGAACCGATTAATGTATGAAAATAGTATACCGTGGACTTCACCGTGGGATGAAGTTCACATTAGTTTCCCATGATGCACTCGTTTGCATGGAACCATTGCCAACACGGGCATTCACTTTTGTGCGGCTATACAACTAAGGAATCGGCTTTAAATGTCTGCATGCATTTTGGCCATTCAGGGTTTCGAGGAACGATTGTACCCTGCGAGTAAATGGATAACAGCTCGAACCAGAGCGTCGAGCCTGTACGAGGCTAGCCGAAAGTCGTTCATGAAGCTTGTTTACTACATTCAGGCTTTCAACAAAGAAAGTTCGTACAGACAATTCATATACATTTGTAGATAAGACGCATGTTTGAGCAAATCAATGATGTTCATTCTAAACGTTTGATAATTGCCACGGTCATTTCACAGTACTAGGTGAAAAGTTTAACTGAAACTATTTTATTTCAAAAATGTTTTCGACCAAGAGCAACTTACAGTACAGGTGTTGAAGTTGACTACAACATGAAATGTTCAAAATAGCGCTAGATTATCACCATCGTAGGTCAATATTTCAATCCGTTATGACAGTAGACGTTACTAGCCTTGTTTTACTAATTAAAAGTATGTGGTATCCTTTGTTTGAATACCGTGGCGTTACAGATGTTACAGTTGAGCTCACTACTCCTCATCGAACGAAGATCTATTGGGGAGCGAGCGGTCGGACCAACGCGGAGTATTCACTCTCCTTTCCTTTGCCTATGAGTCTTTATAAAAAACCACCGACGCCCAAGGATGCAGATGTTAGCATCGATGAGGAGTCTGAGCGGAGATACCTTATCAAGTAGGACATAGCTTCTGTAGTGTTTTTAGAACAAGACTTAATTGCGACGTAAAATGTTACATCTTATCAGATATGGTGAAGTTATTTTCTACTAGTGCACGAGTCATAAGTTAGCTTACATTGTAATTTTAGCCAAGTAAAACGAAATTATACCTAAGAAAAACTATATTCAGTAATGTTTAAAAAGGAAATAGCAGCAATATTTACGGCGTAATTTAAAAAGCAAACGTTTTCTAGTTATTAAAAAGTGTTGCGTTCTTGCAGGTCGAATTAAATTTCAAATTCAGTTACGCTACTCATGCCATTCGCGTTGACAAACCAAGCATCTGTAAATGAATGTGTTGGACATTATTCCCAACGGAAAGAAAAGAAGAAAGGAAGACCGTTAGCACTGGTGCATATCCACAGTATTTTGTCTATTCTGTCATAAGCATGCCATCCGCATATGTTAACGGTTTAAAATTATCTCTGTTCCTTTTCCTTCTTAATATAGGCGCTTTGGTGGACGTCCAAGTGAACAGGAGTGGATTGAGATTGGGCGAACGTTTTATCTCGGAGTTGGGCGACGAGATCCACGAGTTGAGAGGAATTACTTCTATACCGCTCGTTACGATATGATCTACTTTATTAATGAACGAAAGAACGAAATATGGTTACCGCTTAGAGACGATATTGGCTTCTAAAAAAGATCAAATTATATAGAACATTTTCGTATCTCCAATACCGTGTGCGACTCGGTTGTTTCGTCACTGCTTATTAGATAAGCAAAAAGGCAATATAGCAGAATTATTTTTTTAAAACATCCTTTCCATGTGAAAAACGTTTGTGTTTTTCTGAGCTGCTGAATAATACACATTATTAAAGGTACAAAAAAAAAGTAAAGAAAAATAACACAAAACCTAACAAAAGCTCTGACTTTCTGGAAGCCAACCCAAACTCAAGTGACCGAGAGAATAATAGAGCGTATAATAACGCACACTAAGAGAATCATGAAAGGTTTTTGAAAATGCAATATAATTAACATTTACCATAGACTTAATTTGGTGCACACTATTACAGTGGGAAGTATGAGATTAAAGCTTTCTAAATGTTGAGCAGATTTACTAGTTGTGGGGTGGTGACACGCAATGTAGATATAATAGTTTTCCTGAGAAATTTCGGCTGGTCCCGATAATTGCAGGTGAAATTATTAAAGGCTGTGCCTAGCTATTTATTATCTTAGAAATAAAGTTGAGTTTAAGAAGTTCAGTTCTCCTTTATTCCTAGTAAGAACTTATGATTAGTACCATAGAATTATTTGTGATCTTAAATACTTATGTGTAAGACTATATGAAATAATGCATTCATTGAAAACGATTAAGAGAAATACATAAATGAAAGGCTTAAGAAACTGAATTGATGGGCATTTCAAGCTTGTTTGTGTTGATAATCCGTTAAAATCGCTGGAAATCTAATGCTTGACCATCAAAGCTAGCGATTGCTATAAGATGGGTAAAAATCCTTAGTGGCAAACAATGCATCACAATATTAAACGCGTAACGACGCTAAGTGAGGCAAACTTGCTAGCGAAACTCAGAAAGCGTCAACCACTGCCATTTAGGTGCAAATATTATGTTTAATTATATCGTTTTTAGCAGCATAAGCCCTATAAGTGATTTAGGAAACTTTAGTCCGCACAAACAAAAATGTTCATGCAGCAAGATTTTTAGCGCTAACAGCTGAAAGGAATAAGCACCTTGATTGAACCAGGGCGTTTTTTAACTGGTCTTCCACAAAAACCTTCGGCAGTTGAGTGATCCCTAAAGCCATGGCACGTTTGGTTTGGATAACTTAAACGTATCTGGCAAATACTCTTGTTGTTAATGGAATCAGCAGCAGCAGCAGGTAGAATTACCATTCAATGTTTTGGTGTTTCGGTGTTCTGATATGACTTTTAAAAGGAAGCCCTTTGGTATTGGTTTATGAATTCGATGTACCATACTTGTTTGTGGAACCACTTCAGTTCAGGACTATGTCATTTTGACATTTTTGTCCTTTCTAGTATCATAACTCGATAATTTGTGGTAGCTGATTATTTAAAATCTCTCGGCCAATTTGAGGTTTATTTGCCCACATTTGTAGCTAGCATGATTTTTACTGTGTAAATTTGACTTATTCAAATCGCTCGCAGGAACTTAACGATCAAAGGCTTCAATCGAAGTTGGTCACACAGATTTATGTCTCTTAATGAGACTATCTTTTAGAAAATACACACGAAGGCTGTTTGGCAACGAGATCGAACGTGCGTACTATACAGCTTTTCTGGTGATAGTTTCTGAGAGGCTCCAGAGCCAGGAACTATGAGGTATTTTTGGCCAAGTGATACTTAGGGATCAAAAACCTATTATTACCCTATGTACGTATCAATCCATATGTGACTCTATTTGGAATGTATCTATCGTGGATTTGAATTTGATTGGATATTCATCCTGTGGCTGTTAGCCCCGTTTAGTAGCCAGGTAAGTAGACATGTCTATGTTTGGTGCGTAGCATGGTAAACTCGGATATTAGACAAACTCGAAATTTGTTTTATCTGCATATTTAGTCGAATGAGGGTTATTTTTATCGGCCCGCTTGTTTAGTGTTAATTAAAATGTTGCAACTACATGCTGAACTGATTCAAATTGACCATACTGCTAGTGAATATACAAGCAAAACGGAATCGGTCCTTTCGCAATACCTGTGGAAAAAAAGTTAAGTAAGCAACAAAAATGAAAGAACTTATTTATGTGGATAACGAAGGGGTTTATAAGCGACAGGTAGATATGGACTCCATTGTGTACAATGACTAAAATCTATCTCGTATTTAAACAATTTTTTATTCCTTTTATTATCCGTTAAGTAATGCTTTCCATGACTGATGTCAGAATTTGTCAGTTCAATTTCTTCTTTCATATATGTATGAAATGACATTATTCATTATTATTATATATTATGTGCTCCAGCTTTACATCTGAGAGTGTTCCGTTTTTACGTGAAACAAAATCTCAAGTTCGCAGATCAAAAGTGTTCGGCACGCTGTTTGTCTATGGGACAGCGATATACGCCATAGCGATATCGTTCTAACAGTCACAGTTTAATAGCAGATATTATTAAAAATAAAAACCTTTGATTGAATATGCCGCCGGACTACTTATGCCCATTAAGAAATACTGTTTAAAACAAGCTCGCCAGATGCCAAGGGTCTCATCTTTTATGCAGCTTATAATCGAGTACTTTAAAAGTGATCGTAGGTAATCGCACAAGGTGTACATAATATATGATATAACAAGATGCCGTGCTTTAAATAGCGAAAGGGACACCAGAAGAAGAGAAGAATGCCTTAATTAAGCCAAACTAGATCTTCGAATGAAAACCTTGTTTACGTTAATTATGCTATTTAGTTAACATACTGGGAAGCATAATAAAAATAACTGGCTAAAGTACATTGAACTGATAAAAATTGTTATGCTCGTAAGTATCACATCGATAAATTGATGCTACCGATGTATTGGCTGTTTACTACTGGGAAAAATGATTCGTTCCGTTTGTCCTAACTCCTACTATTCATTGTAAGAAGCAGGCCATGATCTATTATTTAGATTTAGATATTATCTATGCTAGTATATTATTTTATCTATCCATTAGATTCAACGTTGAATTATACCTGATCGGCCCTGTACCTGATAGCAAAAGACATCATTTGTGTGTGTGTGTGTGTGTGTGTCTTGTTTAAACGCTCGCGTTCGAAAAGGATGTTGCTTGTTATTAAGATAAATGGAAAAATCGTTTGATGATCGCTATGAGCACGTTCAGTGAATGTGAGCATTTCTAGAATTATCCATAGCACAACGACAAGTACTGAGTAGCCTTTAATATACGGTTCTATGACTAAATGTTCTAAACTTTCGCTATTCACCAGCGCTTAGCTCGAGTCCGATACACGTTTTAGGCAAAGTGTGAATTCTGTACACTGTAATTCGTATCAATATACACGACTATTTATATGTAAGGGCCGTTTCTTTACCGGCTACAGACAATGTCTGTCGATAATCAGAGAAGGTTGACTTTTCGGTGTTATAGTTTCGTTCATTTGAAGTAGTTATGAATTGAGCGTACATGGGCTATTTGAGCTAGATCAGAAACTGGTATAAACCATACGCATTCCCTATTTTTTTTTTTATCGGGCTTTACTTTTGAATGTTTAGCACAACAGCGTGAGAACCTTCGCCAGTGTTTCCTAATTCGACCAAGTTCGCTCCCTTTTTCCGTGTCCTGTTGGTCCTACGTCAGCGCTTGTGTTAAATCTGTTTTATTTGTTGCAACAGTTTATCGGATGCCAGTGCTAGCGTCTGGTATTGTGTAAGTAGGTCTCACGAATTTCTTGAATCGGTAGGCGTCCTAGATCTTGCACATCCTTGGGAAGCGTCTAGGCTTTCCAATACACGTTCATGATATCCTTAACGCCTTAATAACACCTTGCACCTGCGCCACCTCAGGCGCCTCCGGCCAGGCGTCACCCTTTGCTAAGGCCTGTCGAACGGTTAGTGCGTATCTAAATGTACTGTAAGAAATTTAGGCACTGATTACGGTATAGGAACTCACATGTATTTTCCGGGGGGGGGGGGGGGGGGGCATTCAATGAAACCGACATTTTTAGGTGACTTTTACATTATAAAGCATAAGCTACCCTTTTATATTTTTAATTTTTTTTTCTTACAGATTCTTCTCAGATCTTACAGATTTTTTAATATATTTACCCTCGTGTCGATGAACATTTGATATATTATTAGAGACACATGTAAATCCACCATTGAATTCCCTGATGTTGGAAGCCAGTTGTAGACAACGTAATCTAGCTTATACACTCAACAGATACTACATCTCCAGGCAAATACTTTTTGCATTTACATATTTAATCAGCAACAAAAGAGACGGACTGTTTGGTTTACGTCCAACTACTTCGGAACTGCTTCCTTGACAATTAGTGTAACATTTCCCTGATGCATATGGGCTGTATGTTAATATTGCATTGTTCCTGATCCTAATTTAAGCTAATGTACACGTAATTTCGTACGTGTAATTTCTTAGAATGTTTAGAAAGCATTATTATTTGGAATATGCATTTGAGAATGCCTACACGAATGGTCCTGCCACAACTGCTAGGACCGTTAAACTACAATCTAGTCAGCGTGTTTCGTAAGCATTGGTCAACACCTAAAGGTTGCCCACGTCTCGACTGGGCTGGCAATTTTGCGTGTTCTAGGGTTCGACAAGAGCAGTACTCGGATAGCCAAGCATTTATTTTGACTACGAAAGCAAAAATGTGTACGCTTAGTCGTCCTAGCTGATTCCTTCAGTGCATTCTCAGCGGGCCAAGAAAAATACCGGGCTGTCATAAACAAATGGGCTTAATCTTGCGACATATGTGGCATTAGGTACCTATGCAGCGCCTAGACACGGCCCGCTGGATTTTTTAAATGAATAAAACCGAAGTAGCACAAGCGACATGAACTATATGTTTCCTATGATACTTAAGAAGGTAAAAATATTATGTCTACAAGCTCTGCACGGATTATCAGGTACCCTGCAGGGCCAGGTTAGCTTGGACATGCTTGAGTGACTTCAGAAGGTAATGGAAGAGCTGGCACCAAATGTCAATAGTGAAGAAGAGATCAAGCAGTTTACCTGGAACAGCTTAAATAGTGGTCAGGTTGGGTTGGGTGAGTTAGACGTAGTAGGTGTTTTTGCGAAAGAACACCATTGTGGTGGAAATTCAGATTTGAGGCTCAGCTAAGCATGGACGATAAGTCACTATGACGCAGTTATAGCAATTCAAAATATATGCACTACCAATTAAATAAACATTATGAGCATTAAGTGCTACCAAGCATTTTCTTCACGCGGTCAGCAAGGAAACAAAACGTTAACGTCCGATTTTGAACCTAGACCTGTTCCTAACTTTGGTAGATAAACACGTTAATATTAATGAAATAAAGACAGAAAAGGCCTATGGTCTCTTTGTTGATACGCCTCTAGCTTATGGTCTCGCCGTTCCTCGTCATACTAACCTCCGCTTTAAAGTGGAACAAGTTCACCTTACAAAATTGTCCAGATGGGCCGCAGGTACGCCTGGTATATCGGGCATTTGAGCTCAAACCACCCA